AGAGAGTTGCAGCAGGTCATATAAAGTGGCACTTGAGATGCAGCTGACAGATGCCAGATTGCTGGATTTTGGGTAAGAAGTGACTTTGGGGGACAGAGCATCACTGAATGTTGCAGAATGCCACCATATTCACACTGTAGTGTTTACATCATATATGCTCTTACAGAGTTTTACCTATACAGCACCCACAGCAGGATTAATGGTATAATCCAGAAACTCGTTACTTTTTCTCCTACCTGAGAATTTTCTCCTATGTGCTGTTTCTGGCTAGATTGTCAGAAAGAGGAGCCTTTTTTCCTCCTTGTGCCTGTTCCTTGACCGTCTCCACTGACTTTTCAGTTGGTGAAGTGGAAGAAATATCACAAACACAACACTCCACTCTGCATCCAAAAGGGATTTTCCAGGCTTTTGAGACACACAACTTGTTGCTTATTCCTGTAATATCCCATTTTCATAAGAATTTCTCTATTTTCCTCCCTCACTAAAACACCAAATATAGTCCTGCATGCAGTCGGGTCATCTCTGTATATACAGTCTCCGTCAGTGCTTTGGGTGTAGCAGCTACTTGACTACAGCTCTACCTCCATGGTTGCTATAGCGACACCATGGTAATGAGTCTGCATTCTAATGATGCCTCAGTGGGTTGTTTGAGGAGTTGAGATATCTCGGGACAGCGAGTCGAACAGCCAGTGACAGCCTTCAAGGCTTGAAGGGTACAAGTGGCATGTGATTAACGCATAACTGTTGGAGAGGTCCAAATGAAGTATGTGGCATTCAGTGTGATTTAAAGGCCAGTCCTAACCTGCTGAGCTGCCAAAATACCGTAACGATTTACTGTTCACATATATACTCTTGTCTTGCCCTTTTGCAGTGCTACTGTAGGTTCAAATATGATCACCCAATTTCTTCTGTCAGTATTTACTCCTAAGCATCACATGCATAAGTAGTGTTGTGCACAGGGCATTTTAATTTGAAAGAGGATTTCCCCTTGTCCTCTGAGCTGACTTGGTTTTATGGAACCTCGTTAAGTCCTGATGGAAGAGCACTGCTGCTGCATTGACTCATTTGATTTTTACTCGTGTGAATATGAATATGAAGCCTCACTGTGAGGCCTCCAGAATATCAATGGACTTTTCCAGCCAGATGAACGTCTCTCTCGCTCTCTCCTCTCATTACAATATTACCCTGAGAAAGTTTCCTCAGCTTTTTGTAAAATCTGGATGATGGAAGTGTCATTTCCACACAATCAAAATAAAGGAGCCCTTGCCTTTTTAAGATCTTGTGTCTGAAGCTGTTGTGTCTCTGCTTGCTCGCTCTGTTCACATTCTACAGTGCAGTCTGATTTGTGATTTAGTCTATATTTCTCAGGACAACTTGTCATACTGACAGCTGCTTATATTTGCATACTAGCTGCATTGTCAAACTACTATCAAGCTGGTGATAAGTTTCAGTCAGCATACACAGACATCATCGTAGCCCTTTTTGTACAACTTGTCTGATAGAAAACCACTCCCATTTTAGGTCAAAGTGAAGCTGCAACATACAGTGGACACCTAAAGCCTCAGCCAAGTATAACAGACACATTGTTCCTGTGTCAGGTGTATGTTGGAAGTCCGCAAGGTTTCAAAGGTTGTCGCTCATGCTTTTGCCCTGATTGCACATCTGCTTAGCCTATTAGGAAACTACCTGTTTAGGCTGAGCTGATTATACATGTGCTGTTATTTATTCCAGCATCTTACTCAGATCATTGAGTAGTTTGGCCCGACTTATCCAAAGTAAATAGTATGCATGGTTTTTTGTTGTTTGTTTGTTTGTTTGTTTGTTTTTTTCTTCATTGTCACATGGAAGTGGGGGGGGGAAACGGTTTATATAAATTATTATACTGTAGGTATGGTGACACTCCAGTAGAGTTGTGAGATATTGATATATTAGGAACATTTTGGGGATTTTGTCTGCAACTATAAGCAGACTGTTTTGCATCGGTGGAGCTGCCAGCCATAATCCTGTATGCACCATGTGTAAATTTTTAAAAAACTGATTATTTTACCTCTTTTCCACCAGAAGTACTGTGCATACATGGGTTTTTATGCTCTGCTAGACTGGCCTTTAGCTGGCTTCTGACAGCATACCCACTGTCGACCGAGCCGGCTCTCCAGAAGACGAGCTTCTTTTCTCCTCTGGTATCTCATATTTGATGTCACCACATTGGCGAGGTCAGATATGTGCACTGGTAAACAGAGTTGTAAACAAAGCAGCATGGAAGCTAGTGAGACAGTCAGCATTATTTCTTCGTATTTACCTTTGTTCATCTTCCGAAATATAGAAATAAATCTGGTAGACTGGGAACAAGTGTGCCATGAGGAATGGGCTAAAATTACACCTGAAAGGACACAAACACTGCTCAAACGGTCCACAAGGGAGGAGGGGTTTAGGGAGGACATACAGTGAGGAGCAGAAGTATTTGAACACCCTGCGATTTTACAAGTTCTCCCACTTAGAAATCATGGAGGGGTCTGAAATTCACATTGTAGGTGCATTCCCACTCTGAGAGACAGAATTAAAAAAAAAAAATTCAGGAAATCACATTGTATGATTTTTAAAGAATTTATTTGTCTTGCACTGCTGAACATAAGTATTTGAACACCTGAGAAACAGCAAGAATTCTGGCTCTCAAAGACCTGTTACTGTGCCTTGAA